CCCTCCCCTCTGGCAACCATCAATCTGTTCTCTGTATCTGAGTCTATTTCTATTTTTGTTTATTTTGTTCTTTATATTCCACATATAGTACTTATCTTTCTCTGACTGGCTTATTTCACTTAGCCTAATACCATATAGGTTTATCCCTACTGTCACAAATAAAATAATTTCATTCTTTCTTAGGGCTGAGTAATATTCCATTGTATATAGGTGCCGCCACTTTTTTACCCACTCATCTGTTGATGGCACTTGGGTTCTTCCATAGCTTGGCTACTATAAATAACACTGCAATAAACATAGGGGTGTATCTATCTTTTCAAATTAGTGTTTTGGGTTTCTTCAGATATATACCCAGAGGTGAAATTGCTGGGTCATAAGGCAGCTCCATATTTAATTTCTTGAGGGCCTTGCATACTGTTCTCCATAGTGGCTGCACCAATCTACGTTCCCACCAACAGTGCTCCCACCAACAGTGCTGAAGGGTTCCCTTCCCTCCACATCCTCACTAACACTTGTTATTTGTTGATTTGTTGATAACAGTCATTCTGACAGGTGTGAGGTGCTGTCTCATTGTGGTATTAATTTGCATTTCTCTGATGATTAGTGAAGTTGAGCATTTTTTCATGTCTGTTGGCCATTTGTATGTTCTCTTTGAAGAAGTGTCTATTCAGGTCCTCTGCCCATTTTTTAATTGGTGTTTGTTTGTTTTTTTGGTGTTGATTGTATGTATTCTTTATAAATTCTAATACCTATTATTAAATGTATCATTGGTGAATATGTTCTCCTATTCAGTGGGTTGTCTTTTCATTTTGTTGATCATTTCCTTTGCTGTGCAAAAACTTTTTAGTTTGATATAATCCATTTGTTTATTTTTTCCTTTGTTTCCCTTGCCCAGGAGATATATCAGAAAAAATACTGTTAAGAGAAATCCAAGAGATTTTACTGTCTATGTTTTCTTCTAGGAGTTTTATGGCTTGCGTCTTATGTTTTAAGTCTTTACAGTAAAACCTCTATATAACAGACTAATTCGGACAAAGGGATGTCCATTAAAGCCAGAAGTCCATTATATAATAAAGTAGGTTTTCTGAATGCATATGTTAAAAAATTGACAAATTAGTTTACCTGTTTTACCTTATTTAGACATGTTTGTGTGATTAAAATTAAGTCTATGTAAAAAGTTTAATTTCACAGAAAAGTTTTCTATATGTATTACAGTAATTATGAATTTATACTAAGTGCAGTAAATGCATGCATTCACCAGTCACTGCAAGTAAACAAATGCACATGGCTGGGGCATGGCTTAGTGCATGTTGGAACTTAGGCTAGCACACATTAAAACTGCTGCAGAAAGTCATGCCATGCGACAACAGAACCAATTACTGCACGATGCAGTGTGATCACATGCTAATCGCTCCCCAAACATTAAGAGTGGTGACTCTTGGATTTAAATATGTAGACTATAGTTGTAGATATGCAATATTTATTTATGTCAGTGAAATTACTACAGCGTTTTTTCCAACATATGGCCTATATGCTAAAATTTGTTTAAAATTACAGTAAATTAATAACAAAAAAAATGTTAATTTAATTGTAAGCAAAACTTGGTTAAAAGCACTTTAACAGGGTGTAGCTTGGCTGATGTGGCTCAGTAGTTGAGCATCAACCCATGAACAAAGAGGTCACTGGTTTGATTCCCAGTCAGGGCACAGGCCAGGGTTACAGGCTCCATCCCCAGGAGAGGGCGTGCAGGAGGCAGCCGATCAATGTTTCTCTCTCATCGATGTTTCTATCTCTCTATCCTTCTCCTTCCTCTCACTCTAAAAAAAATATTTTTTAAAAACCTATTTTTTAAAAAAATTAATAGGGTGTTAATTTTCACATGACCTACAGACCAAAAATTTTGTCTGTTAAACTTGAAATCCGTTAAATAGAGATCCGCAAAATCGAAGGTATACTGTACTCCATTTTGAGTTGACTCTCGTATATGGTCTATGGTGATCTAGTTTCATTTCTTTGCATGTATCTGTCCAACTTTCCCAACATCATTTATTGAACAGACTTTCTTTACCCAATTGTATATTTTTTGTCAAATATTAATTGACCATGTAGGCATGGGCTTATTTCTGGGCTCTCCATTCTAAAACGAACCTCTCTTAAAGCCTATTTCTGTGGACTGCTCCAGACTCACCTGATGCCTTGTTTCCCTCACCTATAAAATTCTAACTTATCAATTTATTTGACTCCATATGTGCATAAGCTGTCATAAGATTTCAATACTTATTTATCACCTCACTGAGCATCGACCTATGATCCAGAAGACACGGTTCAATTTCTGGTGTAGGCACATGCCCGGGTTGCAGGCTCCATCCCCAGTAGGGGGCGTGCAGGAGGCAGCCGNTTTGATTCCCAGTCAGGGCACAGGCCAGGGTTACAGGCTCCATCCCCAGGAGAGGGCGTGCAGGAGGCAGCCGATCAACGAATCTCTAGCATCACTGATGTTTCTCTCTCTCTCTTCCTCTCCCCTCCTCTCTCTGAAATCAATAAAAACATTAAAAAAAGAAAGAGAAACAATAAGACTAAACAAATTCTAATATACTGGCTCCTTTATGAGAAAAAAACATAATAAAGGCCTCTGAGTGTCACAAATCAGAAAAAATCTTGACCCACAGGATTTATATTCCCCCTCCTTCAACTTCTCCAGTATAATTCTTGGGTGAATCCAACTGGCTTCCAACAGCAATTGGGGCTATTGCCAAGAATACTGAGGGATCACAGAAAAACAAGAAATGCTTCAAGCTGTCTTTTCTCAAATTTTTATTTTCAATCAGGAAAGTCTTAGGTAAATACTAAATTTCAAGAATAAAAACAATCCATCTCATGATACAAAAGTACCATTTCTAGGACATTTTTACTGAAAATATTTTTCAAGCTTAGTTTAATTACCTCCGCTTCTACATCCACATTTTGTTTCAAAAGTAACTTCAAAATGTCAACATGTCCATTCTGACTAGCAGCTTGCATAGCTGTGTGGCCAGCACATTGTCCATTTACCTAAATTTAAAAAAAAAGATGGAATGTCACAAATCAGAAAGAGCCAATATATACATATAGTGTAGGTTTAAATTTGCTACATTGCATAATGCTATGAAAATAATTTAGACTGGTATTCCATATATCCTAGAACCAATCACCAGACATAGTTTTCTCTAATTTAGAAGAGGAATGCAGGCCCTTTTTTCTTTTTTTTTAATGAAAGTCCCATTGTTCAAAAAGCTATGAAAGAACTGTTTAGCAATTTACAAAGTTGAAAAAAAGGAAGTGATAAAAGGAAGTTAGTTACATTAGTTTTGTATATTTACTTATATTTGGATTAATAAATCTCAGAGCCTATTTTAATTTTAAAAAGCAGTAAGGTGAATGAAAAACTTTAAAAAAAAAAAAGTCCACTACAGTGTAAATATCTTCAATTCAACAAATATACCAAGTACCAACTATAAGCAAACTACCATGAAGAATATACATAAATGAGTTACCAAAGTAGCTATACACAATTATTCTACTATACAGCAGTAATTTCCAACCTTGTCTTCACTGCAGATGTTGTATAAATGCATAACTTACCCATGAACATACCCAAAACTAAGTTCAATGCCTTAATCCCACCTTATTTACTCCCAAATATAAAACCATAAAAAACAGTTAAAGATGATATCCTGACCACATATGTTTGTATCATGCACCTAAAAAGACAATAAAAGAATTTAAAACATAAAAAGCCATAAAGACAAAGGGAAAGGGAGAGTAAACAAAAAACGAGAAAAAGCAACACATTTTTGAAAAAGAGAAGCAGACAGAGAAGTTTTAATTGACTTTCTAAAGAAGAGGAAAACAAAGCTTGAGAACACCAGACAAACTCAAAACCTGCAAACGCAAGCACATTAGAGAGCTAACAAGAGGAGCCCCAAGTATACATCTGATGTGCAATGGCCACACTCCAGGCCCCCTCCTTGAACTCAAGGAGAGAGAATTAGCTGCCATGACTGTAGGCCCTAAACAGGAAAAAAAGAGGTTTCTTCCCTCAAACAACTGAATAGCCATAGAAAACAGACTCCTACAGGATGGTATGTGGAGATCCAAAGAATTACACATACACATACACACAATCCCTATAATGCAAAGTCAGTCACCAAGTCCTATCCATGTGAAGAGAGCTACCTACCAATCAGGTTTTCAATGTCAGATAAGAATTAACAACTAAGGCTCAGGGATTTGAAGCACTCAATTATAAAAAAAGGGGGGGGGATAAAATAATTTTTTAAAAAAAGAAAAGAAGTGATTGGAAGAGCGACTCGGTGATCTGGAGACACATTTGTTGCGAGGAGAGTGCACCAACCACAAGGAATGACATTTCATAAACAAGCTAACCTGGCATTCAAGAGAAAGGCTCCTGGCTTTGGGTTCAAGATGACAGAGTAGGTAGATCCTGAGCTCACCTCCTCTCACTGACACCAAACTACAACTACATATAGAACAACTACCTCTGAGAATGACGTGAAGATTTTTCTGAAACTATAACTATAAAGAAAAAGCTAAGCCCTGGCCAGTGTTGCTCAGTGGTTAGAGTGTCAGCCTGTGCACCAAAGGGTCAAGGGCACATACCTGGGTTGCAGATTCAATCCCCACCCCGGTCAGGGTGCCTGCTGGAGGCAACCAATCAATGTGTCTCTCTCACACAGACATTTCTCTCTCTCTCTCTCCCCCTCATTCCCTCCCTCCCTTGCATTGCACTCTATCTAAAATCGATTGAAAAATATAATATCCTCAGGTGAGGATTAACAACAAAAAAGCCACACTGAGATGAGTAAAAGGGAGACTCGGTCAAATTAGGACCCATGCTAACCCCCACTCCCTGTGCAGTGACCCACAAGTGGGAGAGATACCACAGCCACAGAGGTCCCACCCTTAAGAGTGAAGAAGAGTCTAATAAGCCCCAGCCCAGGGAACCTGCACCAGGGAGAGGAGCCCCCATAATATGTAGCTTTGAAAACCAGCAGGACTTACATCTGGGAGAGCCAAAGGGCTGTAAGAAATCAAAACTGTGCTCTTTCCAAGTCCTAGCACAGAGGCAGCAGTTTGAAAAGCACTTGGGTCATTCATGAAGGTGATATATTGACTAATTTTAGGGCATGTGCTGGAGGGACATAGAACTGCTAGAACTATCTCCAGGGTCAGAAGTGGTGGTGGGTGTCATTTTCCTCCCCTTTCTTTATTCTCCTTCCACCTAGCTGGTGTGACACCAGCAGGTGCCATTCCTGACACACTGCATTAAGACTTGCTAACACATGCCTGGCCGGATTGGCTCAGTGGTTGAGCATCAACCCATGAACCAGGAGGTTACAGTTCGATTTCCAGTCAGGGCACATGCCCAGGTTGCAGGCTGGATCCCCAGTTGGGGGCGTGCAGAAGGCAGCCGATCAATGACTCCCTCATCACTGATGTCTCCATCTCCCTCTCCCTCTCCCTCCCTTCCTCTATCTGAAATCAATAAACTCATTAAAAAAAAGAAAAGACTTGCTAACACTGCTCATCCCACCCTGATGATTCCCTGAGGACCCACTCAGGTGGGCACCCCTCCAAAGGTGCTTCTGTCCAGCCACACCCAGTGGGAATCCTCAGTTGGCACCAACAAATAGTAGCGTGTCTGCAAGTAGAGTCTGAGCCTCACAGCCAGTCACATATCAGCACACATACAACAGTTGCAACCAGGTCTCACAGCCACCAGGCCAGGGACCAGTCTCACCTATTAGTGTGTCCATAACACAACAGGAGGCCAAACTAGTCCACATAGGGAACACCTCTGGAGCACCTGGCTCTCATAAAGGGAATTCCATCCCTGGGACCCCCAGGACACCTTCTAAATACGGCCACTTGAAGACCAGGAGACAGTTCACCTACCTAATACATAAAAACAAACAGGTAAAATAAGGAGACAAAAGATTATGTTCCAAACAAAAAAATAAGGCAAAACCCCTGAAAAAAGTACTAAACGAAACAGATGGGTTATGTAATGGAAAATCTATTCCTCTACTGACAGGCACTTGGGCTGTTTCCAGATTTTAGCTATTGTAAATAATGCTATGAACATAGGGGTGCGTATATTCTTTCTGATTAGTGTTTCAGGATTCTTAGCATATATTCCTAGAAGTGGGATCACTGGGTAAAACAGCAGTTGCATTTTTAATTTTTTGAGGAAACTCCATACTGGTTTCCATAGTGGCTGTACCAGTCTGCATTTCCACTAGCAGGTAGTAGGAAGACTGTTTTAATTAAATGATGGGTTGTATTTATTTTAATTATTTATGGCATTATATTAAAACAAGGGTAAAGTTTCAGTTTCTTTTAAGCTTCAATCTACAAAGATAATTAGAACTAGCAAAACAGAAACCACACACACACACACACACACACACATGCTCACACATATACAGGAAGCTAAAAAGAAGACCTAAATCTGTTGTGAGAAACACCTAGGAAGCAACACTTTTGCCAAGAAAACCCAAAAGGCTCAAAATTGATGACCTCTGAATATGGGGACAATGTGGAGGTGGGTGCTAAACACAAAAGCATCAGTTGACAGTCTGTTTAAAAAGCATTTAGGCCCAGCAGGTGTGGCTCATCGGTTGAGTACTGACCTATGATCCAGGAGATCGAGGTTCAATTCCTGGTCAGGGCACATGCCCAGGTTGCAGGCTTGATTCCCAGTCAGGGAGCATGCAGAAGGCAGCCAGTCAATGACTCTCATTATTGATGTTTCTATCTCTCTCCCCCTCTCCCTTCCTCTCTTTGAAATCAACAGACATATTTAAAAATAAATAATAAATAAAATAAAAATAAAAAACATTTAGATCCTTGGCTTCCCCCCCAACCCTGCACAGCTAAGCTACTGCTCCACCCTCACACTAATTGAAACCTGAAAGTTTATTCTCCAGAAAGGGTAAAGAATCCCTAGCTAATGTTAAGGGTGGGCCAAAGTACTAAAAACAGAACTTTTATGTAAATATTTGCATGCCGAATCCTAAGAACCCAGGCCCTCTTCCCTTAAACAATATTCATAAGATTGGCAGCCAGGTTTATACCCATGAGAAGAACTGAGAGATCTTTCTGGGGAGTCAGACGAGCCCAAGAGTAAAGACCTAATGACCAACACCCAGGAATAATCCAAGGAAATGTCCAATCAGATCACACTATAGTGAAGCCCCTCCCCCACACAAACTTCCAAACAAACCCTTTAGTGACCACTCTTATAGACAACCAAGGATCACCAGACATCTGAGAAATGGCCTCTGACATGAAAAGTTTGTCTGGAAGAAGTTAAAGAGGTGAAAGTAGTTGCCGCTGGAGAATGAAAAAATAAAGTTGAGGAGATGCCGTTTTTCATAACAAATCTTGTAGAACAATTTTCCCTGAAAATTTTTAGAATGTATGACACTGTTAAAAAATAACTAAGATAAATCAGTAATTAAATTTTTTAAATTAAGTATAATAAAATGTAAATCTGCCTAAATCTGCCTGACTAAATATAAAAGAAGTCTGATTCTATCTTTCAAACACAAAAACATTGGTACTTTCTCATAAAAAACAAATTATTTGTGATATATCTTACAACTAAGCAAAGAACCACTCTGCTGTGCTTCTGCAATTGCTCTCTCTCAAATAAACCTATAATGCTATATGCGTTCACAGGAATAAGATGTTTATACCTTACAATTGTAGATCTGATCTTCTTCAAACTGTCTAGCACATTTACATACAAAGGTGTGGCAACAAAAGCCTTCATAACACAGTGACTCCACTTACAATCTTGGCCAGCACTAAACACCATATTGGTGCCAGCCTGGCAGCAATAGCAAAGCCAAAGGATGACTAAGTGAGAAGCAAAATAACTCATTTAAAATATGGCTTATGTGAACAGTAAGATTACAACATAAACTATTAAGATTTACAAAGTGCATGACCTCTAATTCACCTGCCTTACAAACAAACTATGGAAGAGTCAAGTTTCACAGGGAGGGGAGGGTAAAAGTCTAGATTAAATGTTTTGAAAAGGAGGACAGAAAATTGCTTGTAATATTTACTAATATATATTTAAAACACATACATGATGACATTTACATGAGAAAAATTCACTGAATTTCCCAAAAGGACACTAATCTAACCACTTAAAAACCTAAATAGAAATTTTGTCAATCATAAAATAAAAAAGGTCAGTGTTAAAATAAGAAAATGTCAATACCTTTTAGAAATGCACACTTAAAAATGATGGCTGGTGTCTTCTTTAAGATATCTCAGAAAAATAAGAAAGGAGTAAAGCACATGTGGAAAAGTCTTAATAATTACTGAAGTAATGTGGCAAAATCTAAATAACTTTTGAAGTATAAGGTTTATTATACTATTCTATTTCAGTGTATGCATCAAAATAATTTTTAAAATGCTCACATCCACATCTGGTCTTTTTAGCAAATCTTCCACTTTAGCAACATCTCCGTTGGCAGCAGCCTTAACTAATTCTTCATTGAGGTCACCAGATTCTTGAGTTTCAAATAATTTCTTCAATAGTTGGGAGAGTCTTTCTGTAAAGCATCAAATAAAGCTGCTAATACAGGAGGATCTCAAACTTTATCTACTAACAGACAAGTATTAACCATATGCCTATAATATATATTTTTCCATTTTTATTATTTCTGTCATTAATGTTATTTTTCCATTATGCTACAGATATTACCCATGGAAGTTACAATTACATATACGTATAATATATATATAAAGCTGCATTAAATTTGAGCCCATAAGTATTCCCAGTTTTCTCCAATTCACGTATTTCAAGTTAAAATTTCAGAAAAAGTAAAGAATTACAATAATAATTCAAAATGTAGAAGTCATACCAAAGATATTAGAAATGAACACATCACAATAAGATTACCATAATGATACAAATTTCCTTTCAGGTCTTAAGCATACCACCAAAGTGACTCTGTGAGCTCAATGCTACAGGCCTTAGAATAAATCAACAGCTCAATGATTATAATTCAAAAGAAATATAATCTCTATAACATGAAGGGAAATATTTTAGGGACAAACCAACTTTCAGTTGCAAATGGACATCAAAGTGCTAACAACATACTTCAAAGGTACCCACTGATTACTTTAAACTAAAACAAGAACGAACTAGGGATTTACAAAGCCTTCCCTAAGGTATTTTTTCTGAACGGCATTCATCAATAGAAAACCTACACAGTTCTACTCCTTAATTCTTGGATCTTCTTATTGGAAAGCAAAGAAATCACAAAATGAGGCAAAGGACCAACACCAAGTCCACACTGCCTGAGAGGATATTAACCATTCTTCACTGTTTTAATTTGTATGTAGTCAGCCTGTTGTGATGCCATCAAACCTCAAGGTAAAAATAACCACCACCTAATTTAAACTTTAAGCACACTAGCAAATTACAGTAGGAAAGAGACAGAGGAAATAGAAAGCAGTACAAAATAAAATTGGAGGTCACTCAATGTTCTCCTTTACTTTCTTACTATTTACTGTTATGGGTCTATCGTCTTTTCTGGATGACAACAATATACATCAGTAACTTGTAAGTTGTAGAATGGACTGAGTCTGTGTACATAAAGCTGGAACATAGGAAGGAAAGACTGAGCTTGAATCTACCCAAGCATTCAGTATATTCACATCTCAACATGGTTTTCCACTCACTGTGGTATATACAGTAACTCTTATTGAATGTTAAGGGAAAAAATATGACTGAGATGTAAAAATATCCAGAAAGAAAGCCATCTGCTAGCAATAACGTTGAAACAGAAAAAAAAAAGAAAACCGGTCTAAGAAAGTGATGGCTCTTTGGCAGAAAACAAAAGTTCTGACTAAAGAGGAGAATGTTGAATTTTAGGTATCTTAGATTTGATGTGGAGAAGCACTCAATATATCTAAGATAAAGCACATACTTATGGAACTTTTCCAGTGCAAACCTCAGCCAGAACAAGGATTGTTCACTGTATGGGAAAAAAAAGTTTTGTAAAAGTTTAAAAGGTAGTTAACATTCAAGCGAAGTTATGTGATCTAAGAGAAAGGCAAGAACACATACAACGTTACACCTGTATATGAGATCTGGGGAACTAGCAAAGGTTCTAATGTAAATCATACTAATTTTAAAGACACATGAAATAAAACATACCACCAGATGCATTGCTAATGGCTGATCCTGCAGATGCCACCTTGGAAACTGCTGCTGGATTGTATGTCCAAGATGTGCCACAAACTTCCACCTTTAAATCGCTGTCTGAATAAATCTGTTGTACTCGGCCAACTTTACCTAAAGTCTTTTAAAAAAATCAGATTCATGTTTCCAAGTCCAAAGTATATACCATAAAAATCAATCAACAGTTTTTAGATGTTTAAATAATTCATTTTTTTGTTCCTAAAGAAAAACTTTTTTAAAATGACCATACTCAAATGGGTTATTCATTAATTACAAACTTTAAAGGTTAGCTTTTAAAAATATTTTAATAGAACTATTATACTTCCACAAAAATATAAGAAAATAAATCAAGAATCTATCTGATTTCATAAAAGTTCACAAAATTTTGCTTTTTGATATCAACCCTTCTTTTTTAACCCGTAAGATATAGCTTGAGAACTTAGAGCTCAAGTACTACAAAATCCATCCTCAATCTAGTCTAAAAATATAGTCTGATTTCTAAAGTATATATACACGCACACTACACACACACACACACACACACACACACACACTCAAATTTAAAACGGCTCGAAGTTATATCTATGTTTAAATCCTTTTTAGAATCATGCCTGATTCAAAAACTTAAGTGTGTAGAAATAACATGCCTATTAAATACGAAATAAAGAGGGAAATTAGGTACAGAGCACAATCAGCAACAGCAGTTCTTACCATGTGGCAAATGATGTTCTAATGTTCTAAGACAGTGATTTTCAACCTTTTTCATGTCATGACACACATAAACTAATCACTAAAATTCTGCAGCACATCCAAAACTATATTTTTTGCCGATATGACAAAAAATAGGTATAACTTTTACTGATTTACAGTAATAATAATAAGCTATAGTTTTTCTTCCAAAGCAACTTTTTAAAAAATCTGGTGCCTATAGTTGTATATAAGGATTTCCGGTACCAAGCATTAACCAATCAGATGCAATCTTATTAAGCAACGTGACCAATAAGAGGCAACTCTGTTATATGACTTATATATTTATGGTTCAGAACAGGGCATTCACTTGAGACAGCTATTGTTGTGTTGGCTGTTGTCATTTTTTTATTTGACAATCTAAGGCAGGGGTGGGGAACATCCCGCCCGTGAGCCGTATACGGCCCACAAATCATTTGGTCTGGCCATGCCAAGGCAACTGCAGGTGGGACTAAAAATTCAATAAATCTAGGAGCTTTCTCATAGCTAATTTTTAAACTGATAATTTTGTATGGCCCGCGAATGTTGTTATAAATACCCAAATGGCCTTTGGCAGAAAAAAGGTTCCCCACCCGATCTAAAGGAAACAAGGTGAGTGCTCCTGACTAACGTCAGGTATTGCATTGTTTTAAAAAGTTATTGCAGCCCAGCCGGAAATGGCTCAGCGGTTGAGCATCGACCTAGGATCCACAAGATCGCAGTTTGATTCCTGGTCAGGGCACATGCCCAGGTTGCAGGCTCAATCCCCAGTTGGGGGCCTGTAGGAGGTAGCTGATCAATGACTCTCTCATCATTGATGCTTCTATCTCTCTCTCTCCCTCTCCCTTCCTCTCTGTGAAATCAATAAAGATATATTTAAAAATAAATAACATAACATAAAAAATTATTACAGCACAATGTGCCTATTGCAGCACACCAGTTGAAAATAACTGTTCTAAGAGCTTTATATGTATTGATCCATCTAATACTATAACCCTGAGAGTTAAGTGCTAGCATTGGCCCCATTTCAAACTCAGTTCCAAAATCTATTCTCTTAAACACAACAGAATAGCAAATAACAATACCAGAAAATTGGTGAAGAATAGTGATAATATCTGACTACTTCCTAACAAAGAGAAACTGCCCTTGACTTTTGTCCTTTGACCTCTCTGCAGCACCTGATCCAAATTTGAGAAACTATTCCTGAACAGTTTCTCAACTATTTCTGGGTGACAGTCTTTCTGTTTGTTTTCCCCTTTCTTCACTCACTGGTTCCTTTTCCTTCTTCAGATCCCTAAATCGGTTCATTCTCCAAAAATTTATTCATTTTTCACTCTTCCTTCTTGAAAATTTAATCCACACTGACAACTATCAACTTATTTCAAGTCTTGAACATATACTTCTCTAGCCCTGTTTATCCCTCTCCGTGCCCCCCAACATACCAATTTTAACTTCTCATTAGACATTTTCACTTGGAATTTTCCACCAACATCTCAAACTCTATGATGCTGGAAAATCTCAAACACACAAAAGCAGACAATACTATACTGAATCCTCATGTACCTATCAACCAAATTTAACAGTTATTAGCTCATGGCCAACCTTGTTTTCCCCTACTCATTCTCCCTTCTGTATTATTTCATTATATACGCTCTTTTTTAAAACATAACTACAATATTATCAACTCACCCAAAATTATCAATAATAATATAAAATACCAGTCAGTGTTCAAATTCCTAATTGCCTCATAAATGTTCAAGCCAAGCTCAAAATAAAGTCTACACGTAATTTTTTCTTTGCAAATTATTTGTTGAAGAAATGATTATTTGTCCTATAAAGTTTCTTACAATCTGAATTTTGCTAACTGGTATAGTTTAACAGCTTCACCTGAATCTTTATTTGTTAAGACATCCTTCAAGTTGGCTGCTAGATCCTTTTAACATGACCTAGAAATTTTTGAAAACTTCCTTACTTTCTGGTATGAGGCTCATCTTGTTCATTTCCTATCAAAGAGCTAGAATTAGCCATTTCTCCAAGATCCCTAGTTCTTTACACAGGAAAGGCTATTTCAAGACCATAATCTGGGCACTAACGTTGGTTATTGGTTATTGTTACTGGAATGGTGAGTGTTTCTAGGCCTTGTCATGGACAGAGCTAAGAAAAGGGGGAGAGGGATTGTTTTATTTTGTTTTAAAAGATAAAATAAATGCAAGACTATAGGGTTTTTATATAACCTCTTCTATATTATATCTGTATCTCCTTTCCCAGTTCTGATCATTCTGGTTCTTAAGGTCACTGGGGATAATAGAATTATCTACAACTACTCATTTTTTTGTCATATTACACAAACAATAATCTCAAAATCATATCAACACTATTACAATTAAATTTCTGAAAACTGTTAAGTATTTCTTTTTCTGTGTAGTTCTGTAGAGTATATGCCTCCTATAAGCCTATAGAGACAAATTACTGTGTTTAAAAATCATTTGAAATTTCCTTTCTGTATAGCTATGCCAACAGAAAACACATTTAGGTTCATTTCACTTATTTTCTACTTTTAGGAGTTTCATTTTTTAACTTAATTTTGTTCTATAACTGTACAAAATATATGGTTTCAAATCAAATCTATAAAACAAGACATATTCAAAGATGTCTCTCTTCTACTTCTGTCCCCTATATCATATTCCCTTCCTATATATGAACACTTTTAACTTTATTTCTTCACTAATATTTTTATTTTAAATAATAGTATTTAGTCCCAATTAATACCTTACCCCTACATTACATTTTCCACTAACTGCTCTATGCAAAAATATTAACTATAGCCCTTTTTGGACTTTCCCCTGGCTAATTTAGCTGGAATAAATCAGAAAATAAAAGGCATAAGTATGCCTAAATGCCAATGAAGAGCACAATTCTCAGAGGATTATGCTAATTTAGTTTCTAAAATTAAAGTGCTTTTAAAAACTACATAAGCATGGTGTAATTCCTAGTCCAAAACTATTCTATTTATACTTACTGGGAGCATAGCTTCAGCCCATTCTCCATGTCCTCTTTGCAGAAGTTTAATTCTTTCCAGATCATAACAAACTTGTACAAGATCACCCACTTGAAACTGTGAGGTGCCTCCTTCTGCACCCTGAGCAGCTTCCCCACTTCGGACAATGTTTGCTTTAGTGAGAACGGCAGGATTGAAGGTCCACCTAAGGATAAGAGCAAAAACTCAAAATAGGTAAGTTTAATTTTAATGTAACATTTTTTGTTAAGCATTGAAGGGAGAAAAGTCTTACAACACATCCAAAAAGTAAAGCAATCCTTTACTATTACATCCTGAATTATTTGTGTTTCTTTTTACAATTTTAAAATACTAATTTGGGAAAAGAACCACTGTAATCTTACCACCCTAATATGATATACTTCTATGTCAATTTATTATCCTTTCTTTGCATGTTAAAAATTTGTTATAAAAATAACACACTCATTGTTAAAAATTAAAACATTTCAGAAACATGTAAAATATGTTAACTTTGAGAAGGAACATATCTGCCAAGGATTCCTGAGGGTTAACTGGGCCCAGTCTAGCAGCCACTGCTGACAGAGGCCTCTCAGGCACTCTGCATTTGAGGAAAAAGCTACAGAATGAGCTGCCAGCCTCCTGCACAGTGTTTCTGAATTCTGAGTCAATCCTTATAAGGGAGTTCCTGGCATCATCTTTTGACCAATGGACTGAGACCTGCCACATCCAATAAGAACAGTGCATCTATATTATTTGCATATATACTGACCAATCAGAATAAACAATTTTGATCAATAAGGACCATGCCATTTGGATCGATCAGAACTGTGTAATTTGGATTCCTCATTTGCATAAAAATTCACAGAAACCAGGGTGGGAACTTTCTCTTTAAAAGACGGCACTTGTAGTTTCCACCAGATACTGCATTTCCTAGGTTTGTAAACTGTTCACCTGAATAAAGTTTCTCCTCTTTGCACAACTCAGACTGGTAATTTTTGTTGATAAATGACAGTTCCATTTCACACAAACACACATGGATCACCATTCCTCACCCCACTAGACACCACTGTTAATACTCCATTGTGTATCCTTGCAGGTCTTCTATCAATATGCTGAGTGACAGTTATAATGTAGAAAGAGAGTTGTTTTCCTTTCCATAAATGGAATCATTATGTAATTCTGTGGCTTTTTTTCTCAGAGGATGCATCTGGGGAGATTTATTTTGCAATATCACAGGAACAGATCTACATATTCCAGTTTAATGGCTACAGAGTATTCTATAGCACGGATATACACTAATGTACTTAACCAATCTATTGACTCTCATTTAAAGTATTTCCAAATGTTCACTATGGTATTACGAACAATACTATGAAGAACCTCCTTTTACGTACACCTTTGTGCATATGGGGGTCAGTATTTCATTAGAGATTCTTGGAAGAATTACCTAATCAAAGTATACAATTTGTTACAATTCTGATAGAGCCAAACAGCTCTACAGAGTACACCATTTCCCCGTACAATTGCGATCTCATGGATAAAAATATTTAATTTCTCATGCAAGCGTATTTTACATTATCGTAATCACTGTAGCAAAACAAATGTGGATTCTGAGTTCTTCTTTTCTATATATAAGCATTTTGCTATGCTGCTACCATTTTCATAACCACCATTTTATTGACTACTTAATATTCTATCAAATAGTTTTACCACAATGTATATAACATATTTTCTCCTAGTCCACATGGCACTCCAAGGATAGAAGTTTCCCTAGTCAAATAAGCTTTTATAATATGGTCATTAGCATATAAAAGATTCTGAGTAGTCACAACATACAGAAACTTACTAAATTCCTATAACCATGCACACTCTGTTTTGTAAAACCACCATAAAGAGAAAGAAGTGCCTCTGACCAGTTAAGAATAAAAATCAGCCTGGCAGGAGTAGCTAAGTGGTTGAGCACTGACCTATGATCCAGGAGATCGCAGTTCAATTACTGGTCAGGGCATATGCCTGGGTTGCAGGCTCAACCCCCCAAAAAGGGAGTGCAGGAGACAGTCAATCAATGACTCTTTCTCACATCATTGATGTTTCTCTATCTCCCTCTTCCTTCCTCCTTTCCTCTCTCTGAAATCATTATTTAAAAATAAATAATAAATAAATAAATATTCACCTGGACTAGTAAAATTAAAAAATATATATATATATGTTGATTATCTTTTCATGGGTATAGAATGTATAAAATGAATTATCCCTCCAAAATTCATATGCTGAGCTCTAACTTCTAACATTACTGTATTTGGAGACACGACCTTTAAGGAGGTAATTAATGAGGTTAAATGAGGTCATAAAAGTGGGACTCTAATCCAACAGGACTGACTGGTGACCTCATAAGAGGAAGAAATAATAGGAGTGATGACCTCATAAAAAGTGATACTGGTGATATCTCTCTTTCTCTGAGCATGCACAGAGAAAAGGTCATGTGAGGACATAGTGAGAAGGCAGCCATCTACAAGCCAAGAAGTGGTCTTACCAGAAACCGACCCTGTCAACACCTTGATCTTAGACTTCTAGCCTCCAGAACCGTAAGAAAATCTATTTCTGTTGTTGTTTAAGCCACCCACTCTGTGGTGTTTTGTTATGGTAGTCTCAGCAAACAATACAGTGAGCTTACTGGTCATCTCTGTATCTTCTTTGGAAAAATGCCAATTCAAATCCTCTGTCCATTTTTCAATCAGGTTATTTTGAATTATAAGACAAAAGTCCCTAATCAGACATATGATTTGAAAATATTTTCTCCCATTCTATGGGTTGTCTTCTCACTTTCTTGATAGCTTTTTTTAAAATACAAACGTTTTTAATTTTGATAAAGTACAATTTATTCACTTTTCCTTTGGCTGTTTCTGCTTTGGAGGTCATATTTAAGGAACCACTGCTTAATCCAACATCATGAAGATTTCCGTTTTTTTGTTCCAAGAGTTTTATAGTTTTAGCTCTTACATTCAGATCTGTAACTCATATTTCTATATTGTGTGTAGCAGGGGTCCAATTTCATTCTTTTGCATGTCGATACCTGGTTGACACAGCAACTCAATTTCTGTAAAAAGGGCACTAGGATTTGACAGGGATTGAACTGAATCTGTTGATTAGTTTGGGGAATACTGCCATCTGTTATAGGCTGAATTATGTCCCCCGCAAAAGATATGTTGACATCCTAGTCCCTGAAACTTCCTGAATGTGACCATATTTAGAAATAAGATTTTAGAGATGTAATCAAGTTAAAATGAGGTCATACTAAATGGGGGCAATCTCTAATCCAATGACTGATGTCCTTATAAGATGATCATGTGAAAACAACTTTTGATTATTTTCTATGTAAACAATTTTAGAATTTCCATGAGCTCAATTAACTTCCTTCTATGTCTCCTCGGGGTTCTTTCCTCATGAATGGTTAAGCTACAAGTAGTGGCTTGGCAAAAATAAAATAGTGGGCTAAAGGATTATTTACATGGCTCTCAGTCTCACATGATCTCCCTACAACTGTCTGAACTTGACTAGAGATTGATTTCGATGCATATGAAAATAAAATTTGTACCCAAGAAAAAAAGTTGGAAAATTATTCAATTTAATTACTGCTTTTTCTTTAAAATACCATAAACATACAAGTAAATTAGACATATTTTTACCCTTAAGAGCAAATATATAAAAGGCACAGGCCCAGTCTCCAAGAAACTCGCAACCTAGAGATCAAATAAATAATCATTTTACTAGATAACAGGAGACCTATACAGATGAATAATGTATGCATACACTAGAGAGGGCAGAAGGAGAGAGTAGGTTCCCAAAGTATATAAGCTCAATATTTATAGAATGCAGATGAGTTAATCCAGAGAAAGGGAAAAAAGGAAGAAAGGGTATTCTGCATGAAGGGAACAGTATGTGCAAAGGTACAGAAGCGAAGCTATCACGCGATTCTACACCGCTGCTAAGGATTAGTGTGCGTGTGTGTCTGTGGTAGGGAGAACTGTTACCAAGAGACAGCCCTGCAACTATGGGCCGGCAGCACTTTAATTTCATCCTCTTCATTCAGGAGAGACCTGTACAGTCCATTAGGAACATAGAACCTTCTGCTATCCTCGGACCTAACGATGACACATATATTCTGCTCCCTGCAGTAAAAAAGTCAGAGAACAGCCCGGCCGGGCGTGGCTCAGCGGTTGAGAGTCGACCAAGGATCCAAGCGATTGGGGTTCGATTCCTGGTCAGGGCACATGCCCAAGTTGCAGGCTCTATCCCGATGTTTCTATCTCTCTCTCTCCCTCTCCTTTCCTCTCTTGGAAATCAATAAAGATATATTAAAAAAAAAAAAAAGTCACAGAACACTGCAGCTTAAAGGTATTCATATAAATTCACAAACACACATACTTCTTGACATTTGTTCCCCTCCACCTACCAACATGTTCTGGATTTATACCTACTGAGAGCTACCTTTAAAGAGTCTTTGGTTATATCACATTATTTGCTTTCTTTAAGGCTCTTTTCTCTAGCTTTATTTGCCATTACTGAAAATTAAGAAATATCACCAACCTATTGCCACTTGGATACTGTACTACAATGTCATGATCTTCATCAATGCCACAAACAGTTCCAGTTGTAGTTAAAGTCTCAAACATGCCATCAGTCCATCCTCCATGACCATGCTGCAAAGACTGTACAATTTCTAGGTCAAGATCTATATTTACCAGGTCACCAATCTGCAACCCACCAGGATTCCTGTTGCCATTCTGCTCACCTGTAATTGCAGAGGGAGTTGACAAAGGAAAAGGAAAGTTACATGTAAAGGAAAGCAACATGTAACTTCATTATTTTTAAACAAGAACAAGCTCTAGATTTTTAGTTTCCAACTAATCTGAAATGTTTTGAGAAAATAATGTATCCAATTCTAGAACTAGAGATCTTTGAAAAAAGAAAAGCATGAAAGACTGAAATAATGTGATGATTTGTGACGATAAGGAATAGGAGCAGAATCTATAGAAGATTATGCAACCATATATCAGAACACCATGTTCTAGATGTTGCAAATATACTTTTCTACCTGGACAATTTGTTAACTATCACTCTATCAAAGCCATGGTAACTAACTAGAGATTATGAAAAAAAAAACCCTATAATTATTTTTTCTCTGAAGTGTTTAGTATTATTTTTTACCAATGGTTTTTGTGATTTTTGCCTTAACAGCATTTTTAAATATTTCAAAGCCCATTCCCTACATTATTTTCAAAGCTAGTTCTGGAATAAAGGATTCATGATCATGAAACACTACAATGAGGGATCCAAAATGTGTATGCTGATTCTATGCTTTCCTTGTGAAGGCAAGACACAAAACAAGAAAGGTGGTTTTTTTTTTGGTGCCAAAACCTGGGACGGCAAGAAAGTTTCTGACAAGAGAAATGGATGCTCTCAGCAAAAACGAAAGTATTTCTACTACATTCTCCTTAAAAAAATAAAAATAAAGAAAAGAGAACTTTTTAGCAAAAAGGCAAATCCAATGATTTAGAAAGAGAAACACAGAGTTTGCATGAGAAAGAAAAGCATTCAGCCCTGGCTCGTCTGGCTCAGTGGTTAAGCATGTTGTCCCATGGACTAAAGGGTCCCGGGTTCAATTCCAGCCAACCGTACATACCTCAGTTGCAGACTTCATCCTCCGCCCTGACTAGGGCAAGTGCAGGAGGCAACCAATCAATGTGTCTCTCCCACATCAATGTCTCTCTCTCTATCCCCCCCCCGCCTTCTACTCTCTGAAAAGCAATGGAAAAAATATCCTCTAGTGAGGGTTAAAAAAAAAAAAAAAAAGGGCTAGTAATAGCTTTCATCTCATAGGCTGGTAATGCACATTCAGAGAGGCAATACAGTGCTNAAAAAAAAAAAAAAAAAGAAAGAAAAGCATTCAGAGACTAAAGGCTTAATCAGAAGAATATGGTAAATGTTTGTCATAGTAACAATAAAGAATCTATAAATGAAGGTAGTTTTGGTTTTCTTGTTCTTTTTTTTATATTAATGCTTTGTGAAATTATATTTATTATATTACCTTAATCTTGGAGCTGTTCTTGTATTAGGAAGGCAATTTTACGGAAATTCTAAAGATTTCATAAGCTTTAAGTTGTCAGATCCTATTTTCAATAGTGTAAGAGATATTAATATCTAATACAAAATTTTTCAACAATATAAGTTTATGGGTAAAAGACATAAATGACATGTCAATTCTCAAGATATGACAATTCAGTGTCTATATAAATCATTTAAAAATAACAAATTCTTTAAAACTAAAATAAAACTAAAAAAGTATCTCTTCAAATAGCTTTAATGGTAACTACTTTTTTAAAAGTCCATTAAACATTTTTCTGATTCCATGAACTCTGACCCATTATTTAGTAATTTTCTCTAGTCTGCTAACTCACCTAGCACAGGGCAGTGATCTCTGTAGAAAGAACCTCCTTTGGCATCCTGGACACACTTCAGATCAGACTAAGAAGGAAAAAAAAAATCACCCTTGAAAACGTCAAGTATAGCTAGCTCAATACCTAAAGTAGACAAAAATGTTCATTCAGAGCACACCCTCAGCAGAAGTCAAGAGTAGCTCTGGGTTAACAGTCACACTTAACGTGGCTTTCAAAAGCATCCATCAAAAACTATAAACATGATCTTTATAATATTTTCAGAAACGCATGCTAAAAAAGGGAACTATAACATATCTAGTATTTAAAATATACATAACACATTCCATTTTAAAGATATTTTAACCAAAAAAGAACTCAACTCATGATCTTTCTAATCAATTTTATGAGATACAGAACCAAATAGTCTTTTGATTCCTTGTCCAATTAATTTTCCTATTTACAACTTTAGTCCTTACTTCGCCATAACTTAGTTAACTCAAAATTCCTTCCCACTTAGCTTGTATAAGGAAACAAATTATTATTTAAGTATCTGAATGGGAAGGCAGTGGTCATATAATGAAAAAATACATTTTATGTGAATTTAGTAGAGCAACCTTGGGGGATACTGTGAAAATTTATAAGTAGATTTACTAAAAAGTGCCTAATAGTACCTGACATAAATAGGTGATCAGTATATACTTACTCTATTAAGGAAAGGAGCTCCTTTACACACACACACACACACACACACACACACACACACACACACACACACACACACACGAGAGAGAGAGAGAGAGAGAGAGAGAGAGAGAGAGAGAAGAGAAGAGAGAGAGAGATAACCCAACTCTTTTCCAGTTCCTTTGCCATTAGAGCATCATATTTAACTAAATCCTAGCTAAAGAGATACAAGGGTCAAATTGTTTTAGTGTGATACTAGAACTCAGCAAATTCACTTCTAGAAATGTATCCTAAGGAAATACACTCATAAATGTGTAGATATATGTACCAGAATACTTTCTGAAATACTGCTTGCAGCAATGGGGGGGGG